GCGTTCCCTCAGTGCGGACTGAACTTAGCAAAAAGGCCTTTTCCTACTCAGCTCCTGCAACCTGGAACAACTTGCAACAAGAACTGAAGCTGTCCACCTTAATTTCTTTAAGGGGTTTCAAACATTTGATAATGTCAATAGAAACATTAAGGCAGATATGTTCTTGTTTTTAGTATTTCACCCTAATTTTATGGCACCCTGATTTATTGTTTTATACACTACTCTTATTTTAACTGCATTTTTACTGTAGTTTATTTTTATTATTGTTTATTGTTATTGCTGTCTGTACTTTATATGTTCTGTCTGGAACAGGTCTCTCTTGTAAATGAGTCCTCGTGGCTCAATGAGGCTAGCCTGTATAAATAAGGTTGAATGAATGAAATATTTGTTTTCCATTCTTTTAGTTTAGTCAGTGTAAGCAAATGTTTTAGTAAAATTGAGCAGAGCAATTTGCTAATAGACCTCAGTCTGTTAGAGAACAAGTACTTGAGCATTAATAAGATTTAGTGAAGTTGGAAATTTGGACAAAGTCCCATTGAAACAAAACACTTTAAAACAAGCCTCACTTCTCAAAAATGGCAGATAAATAAATAAATAAGTAAATAAATAAATAAAAATCCTTACCACCTAATTTTAAAAAATAAGTCATACTTTATGGTGTTAAAAAAAGTGTTCAGCTGTGAAACAACAGAAACCATCCACAGAGAGGCAGTTCTAGGGTGAGGCAGAGGGGAATAAAAAAAAAAAGTGGAATAAATAAATGTGGAATAGAAATTAAAAAGAATATAATATTAAAACTTGTTCTCATTGTTAAACAAAACGTAACATGATAAAAGGTTAACTACTAATCTAAAACTCCTATCTTTCAGAGAAAAGTAAATTTAGGTATTTTTATTGTGTGTATTTGTGACTGTTTATGATGTTTAGTTAAAATTTTTAACTTTCTTTCCGTATATCTCTTTTTTCTAAAGTCAAAATCAAAGTTTGTTTATTTGTCATACATGTGGTACATGTGGTGGAATGGAACTGTGTACACAGGGTCCCAGTTAGATCCAACAAAAATATAACTTGCAAAGAAAAACAGTAATAAGATCTAAGATATGAACTAAGAAACACATTAACGAAAAATACAGTAAACACTAGTAGTACAAAAACAATATGCCGAACAGCAGCACGAACATGAGTCTGTGTGAGAGTACGAATGAACACAGCAGCATGAAATAAATCAGCAGCATGAGATCAGCAGCCCAAAGATATATTACATAGATTTAACCTTAAAATACAACCTATGATAAAGTATTTGACTTGTAAAAGTTCAAGGCAGGCAGCATTTTGTTTGACAGCAGTAGACAGTCAATACTCTTTCATTCCTGGCTCCTGCTGCCAACAGCTGTTAATCTTCTTAAAAACCAATTTAGAAGGAACGGCTAAAGCAGAACGCGCTGCGGACAGTCCTGAAGCTCATTCCTCTCTAAATGTTGTGACAGAATAATGTCAAATGAGACCAAACTATAATAATATGGACGTGGGGACACGTTTTACTACATCTTCATTCAGACCGAGCTGGAGCAGCTATCGATTTTTGCATTGAGAGGCATCATTGGCTGGCCTATCCAGGCATGAAAACGGGGGCTCTTAGCGGAGAATAAACAGTGATAATCCACATTTAAGCAGCTTAATGTGAGGTGCTATACTCCTGGTGATTAATGTGTCTAGAAGGGCTCATCCTTGCATATTGGGTCTCGTTCATCAAAGCATAAAATAGCACATTTATGAGGGCGGCATTTTGCATGTTTGCCTGAAAAGCAATTCAAACAGGGTGTAGTGAAAAAAAATCAGCCTTTGAGCCCCTGGGCTTTATGTGTGAAAAACAATTTTTGGACTTATTGAAAATGCGTTGTCCATGGCAATTTAAAATATTTCCTGTCCGTCAGAACAGCTAAGCCACGGTGTTCAGAGAATTGATTTAGTTTAGATTTTGCTTAGTCATCCTACGCCTCTACATATATAAAGCCAACTAATGCTGCAACAGCGGTTTGTGCTGTACTTACATTAGACAAAACTACACATATAGGTGCATAATACAAACATACTTATTACTGTGACGTAATTGTTGCTTATTCAACATGACCATGCATTCTTTTAATCTATACATATATGCACATGTATATTAGAGAGAGGAAAAACCATGAATACATTACCACCATTGACGTAAAATGTACATTATGAGTCAGGTCTGTTGGTTTGGACCCTATTTTGTCCATTTTTTTCATTTAACAAAAACAAATTCTCTCACTCTGAGAAAGAAATGATACATACAGAAGTCTTGTTGAATATACAGTACATCAATATTATTATTCACATGGTCCTTTATAGCTCCAAGATGGAGAACCGTGCCTTCTTTAGGTATTGCATATCCCAGCAGGGTTTTCATTATGTGAGCACTTAATCATAAAGACAAATTTTATGATATCTTTTAAAATAAAAGTGCACTGTTTGCTTCTGTATCTCCACATCCAGGCGGTGTCATGCAGTCTGGTTAGACGTTATTTTAGGTGTGATAAAATAACAGATTCAATATTTCCATGCAAATTCCTTCCAAGATCTGTTTTGTGTTAAATCAAATTATAAACTACACTTCTGTTGTAGTTTCAGTATGCATTTTTTCCTCCCATTTATAGTTTTATTGCCTCTTGTTGAGAAAGGTCTACCGTCTCTTAAATGTTGCTTTGATGAACCACAACATTAACTACGCCATTTAAAGTTTGAGTTTTGGTATTTCATTAAGGAGTTAGTCCCTCAATTAAAGATATCTAAAACAATCTTTATCAAACACTCGTTTTTTTCCAAATTATTATGTTTCAATTTTCAAATAATAAAGCAGTCAGCAATGCAGCAATCCTATTCATATTTCCTCATTTTAGAGAGTTTAGCATTTATCCTTTAACCTAATGAAATGAGTGAAACATTTGATCAGTTATTAACTGATAACTGGTTCACTCACCAGCATCAACATGTGGCATGGAGGCTGCACAGCTGCAGAAAGAAAAGCTTTGCAGAGAGTGGTGAAGGCTGCACAGAAGTCTGTTGGAGTCAGCCTCCCCACCATCACAGACATCTACACCTCCAGATGCAGGAAGAGAGCCACCTGCATCATGAAGGACCCCACTCACTCAGCAAACACACTCTTTGCCCCGCTCCTCTCAGGAAGGAGGTTGAGGAGCATTAAGTGTAGAACCACTAGACTGAGGAACAGCTTCTACCCTGAGGCTGTTAAGAGTCACAAATCTCTAACCAGGATAATCACTGTGAAATCACTGTAATGCCACTTGATTGTTGATATGTGCTGCTGATTATTCATGCTGCTGATCTCATGCTGCTGATTTATTCATGCTGCTGTGCTCATTCGTACTCATCTGCTCACACAGACTCATGTTCGTGCTGCTGTTGTACGATGTATTGTTTTTGTACGCGTATGTTAACGTGCAACATGTAATGTTTTTGTTGACAACAAACAAAAAAGTAACTGTCCAGATGACCTGAATGAACATTGTTTGATTTCTTTACCTGGATTTTGAAGCTCTCGGCCTTGACCTCTCTAAGTGGCTTTAAGAGTCTGTTGGACTCCTGGCAGGGACCAATGCAGACATGTTCCTGTTTTTAGTTTTCTACATTCGCCTTAGAATCTAGCTGTTTTTTGTTTTTTTTTGTTACCTTTTCCTTTTAGCCATCCTATTTGTAAAAAAAAAAACAAAAAAAAAAAACCTGTATTATGACTTTTTATAATTGTTTATTGTTGTTGCTGTTGTCCTTTGTTGTCATCTTTCTTTGTTGAAATCAGGTCTCTCTTGTAAATGAGTCCTCGAGGCTCAATGGGATTTACCTGTCTAAATAAAGGTTGATTGATTATTGAGCATGAACTTTAATGCTTTGACTTTGAACTTTTTTTATTGCAAAGCCTGCCATGTTTCAAGTTTTTCAAATAGTAGTAGGAACATAAAAAACAAACAACAAAAAAGAAAAAAAACTAATTTATAAACTGGAGAAATTTGCAATTTCTTTATAATGCAGATCAAATTTAGCAGGAAAAAAATCCAAACAAAAGGACACAAAGAACATGATTTTTTAAAGTTAGTAAGAATGAGCAGCAGTGATGTAGAGTTCTTTCAGATTGTATGGAAAGTTACGCCAAGTTGTTTGAAACAATTTTATATCAGTGGGGAAATAATGCCATAAAACATAGTTAAAGTAGTATTAAAACATGCACTCATCGCCATCAATTGGACAATATCAGCCTTATTAATCTGTAATATCAAAGGAGCAGCGAATCCTTCGGAGAATTAACTTTTCCTCAGAAAACAAACAAACAAATAAAAAAAAACACGCTTCCTTCTCTGAATCCCAAGACTCATGCTGTCAATACACAGTTTTTGCCAAATACTGAGCCTAAAGATCCACTCTGGCAGCAAGGCAGTCTTTAATGATACACTTTAACACCTCTAAGGTGTATTGAAGGGAGTATTTTCCCTTTGGCTTGCAGTTTCTCATGAGGACCTGCTCGGTGAGCAAACAACGGGCGTGCTGGACTAACAGCAGGCAGGTCCCAGGTGTGAAGGTGCACTTTGTGAGAGGAAAAACAGAAACTGCTACAAAACAAAGGGCAAGAAATATCATTTAACTACTGCAGATGAGAGGCCGAAAAATCTTCAGCCTTGTTTTTCAATATGGACGACCTGACAGAGGATAAAATGAACAATAAAGGATGACAAATGCAATTACATTTCATTGATGCCCTTGTGTTGCCTTATGCTTCCAAGAGAAAATTAATCATAAAGCACTGCATCAAGCTGTGCTACTGATGGCCACATATTTGCAATTTTCTTTTTAATGAAAAAAGAAGAATCATTGAAACATCTAAGCTTTAAGGCCGCGAAACAAAAGTGGCAATATTGATTCAAATGTAAAGACGGGGACCGACAGCTCAGACAGTGACACAGTACCTCTGCGGGTTGGGCTCGTTGTGTTTGTCTCTCTCGTGCTTAATCATTCTGTAGCGGCCGATGCGGACGTCGGGCCTGGACACCTTCATCCCGTTCAGAGTGATCCTGCAACACAGACAGGTGCATCGCCCGTTAAAGGAGGGAAGGAGAAACAAACCTAGAAATCACAAGAAAAAGGTGAAAACAGGTCGTCTGTAAGATGGGAAGATTTGTAACAAAGAAGAAGAGAAGTCCGTCCGTCCGTCCGTCCGTCCATCCATCCGTCCATCCATCCATCCATCCATCCATCCATCCATCCATCCATCCATCC